GACGGTTTCATCTTTTTGGAGGGTGTCAGTGGCCAGCACTGTCTTCATCTGCTCGAGCCACCTGTGAATCAAACAGTGCAGAGTGATGCCGTATTAATTCATTAGGGTAGTAGTAGTTTCATTAGCGTGATAGTAGTCATTGTGGTTAACTGGCACAAGCATTGCTATATATACGCTGGTAAAATTAAACATACCTGTACTCTTTCTGCAATCTGGCTTCAGGAATCAGCAGACAGTCTGCTTTGTTGGGTCCCTCCACCTTTGGTACAGGAGGATCCTGTCTGAGCATAGAAACAGGGGGCACATTGGTGTACGTGTCTGGCAGTTGAGCTGGCTTTCTTTTGGGACTTCTCTGAGTGTTGTCTGGATTGGTAGCAACATTCCGCTGAACACCAGTGAAAGCGTCGTCGGGATGTTGGAAGAGGGAGATGCCAGTTCCATGGAACGAGTCGTATGCACTAGTAGAACTGGGATTGTGGTCAATATTGTCCACTGCGGCAGTTGTAAACAGGCCACCCTTGAGTTGAGGAGGACAGACAGCTTTTTCCACTTCATAATATTGACAGATCTTGTTTCCAAGTTCTGTGGAGATGTCCAGCACCCGATCATACGAAATGCACAGACCCAGGTCAAAGAGGGTGTCCACAAGGGCGCGTTTGCGGGTCTTCGTGTGGATCATGATGCCCAGGTATATGGGCAATGGTGTCTCCCGGTCTTGGCTGTGCCAAGTGGTGGGTCTATTTGTGGTGGCGATCTCCCTCTGGCATACCAAACTGTTGTACATTAGTAGCTGTGAGAGGGTGAGGGCTGGTTGAGGCGTAAACACAGAGCTGGACTGGGTTGTGATGTTTGGGCCATACAACACCATGGAAACTAGTGCCAAGAGTGAAACCGGCACTAACTCTTCCTGGCAATGGGCATCAAATGAGCCACGGAAGTCTTGCTTCATCTTGAACATGTCTCTCCTAACTATGTTAGCAGCACTGGCCAGAAGAACTGCCTCATTGTCAGCATCGCGCCCACATGCTTTCCCCAATGCAGCACCAATATCTCCATTGCATACGAGAATCACATCACGACCTTGCTTGTGAGCGTCCATGTCTGGGAAGTAACTCAGTATCCTGTTCTTGAGTTGGGTGGAATGTACACGCCCTGTCACATGCGTGCCCAGTTGAGCCAGCCTGGTACTATACAGATTCACCAGGTCTGTTAGCTTGAATACTGGTGCAACAAGATTGTCCATGCGCACTTCCTCTATATAGGTGACAAGTCCAGCGAATGCAATGCCATGGTTAACATCGTCTACATTCGATTCTTGTGATTTCGTTTCCCTTGTTTTATTATACAGAGAGGCAAGACACTGAGCGTGGTACTTAGCCTCCTGGGCAATGAGGTCTCCAGCACTGAGTTTGGCTAGGAGTGGTTTGTCCTGTAATTTTAGGGCACACTGCCTCACACGAATGTCAAGTTCGAATGTTGATGCATTTCGCAAAGCATCTTCTGCTGCAGGTTTGCCACAGAAGAAGCATATATCTGTTGAACAATGTTCATGTTCATTGCTCTGGCGGGTGAACTT